AGGACCAGTCTTTAAGAATTCATTGACTTAAATATGACAGGCACGACCTGGCTATTTGCTCACTTGATATAGTGATATGAGGTATGGTGTCATAGAATGTACCGTTACGCGATAAGACCAGGCGTGGTCCTACATTGATGGATATATAATTTTCAATGACAGTATTGTTCCAAATGAAGAAAACAATGTTTGCTATGGTTGGAAATCAATTACTTATGGTGTTGGACGTTGACCTGGAGAAATTCTGCAACGCTCGGTGTATCTTTCGATACATCTTATTATCTGCAGGTATTATATGCATTGCAGCTTTTTATTTCAGCGGGATCTGCGTGCAACAATTCAGCTAATTACTCTTATGGGAGCGCATGTTGTAAGTTACACCTGGCTCAATAGTAAAGCGGAATTTGAACGGGATGCATACCCGATGGACTCATCTCCCTGTCGTCACTTTCATGAGTGTTTTTCATGGTCCTTCGTATGTTATCCTTTGTTCGAAAAGAGCTTTGATTAGTATCTGCTTGACTCTCTATTTACACTGAATTTCTTTCACAACTCTCAGTCGGCAAAATCGAAATGTGGTTGATGTCAGCCGCCAATGTGCACCCATCTCGCAAAACCTATCGAAGAGAAAGGTTTTGATCGATGCACGTTCGTTTACATGTGGAGCCTAGTTGGTCTTCTTCAGTTGTGTTTAGGCGTCGTATGTCTATGGACCCTAGGATCTTAGACACGATGACTGGCTTATGTTTGAAACAAGAAGCTTTTCTTCCTTTCGTATAAACTGGTTTGATCAGTCAATTAGGCCAGTCTGTCAGAACTGCCCATTATTTCTATATGCTAGTATCTCGATTACACTACTCAGTAATTTACTACCTTCATCTTAAAGACGGGTGGCAAATCATCAGGTCATGGTGCTTTAAATAGATTTACGTTCTAAACGTCGAGGATGGTTGGAAGACCGACATCAACGTCTCATTCAGCTGTGGGCCGTATGCAAGAAAACTGATAAGCTGAGACTGAGAACTTGGACCGTTAAGTTTCCATGACACTCAAGAAGGTCCGCCTAGTGCCTACTATGTTGCCCTTACCCGTACTACAACTGAGGCTAAGTCGAATTGTGATCAGTGAGTAATTTTTGACCAGACTAATGGAAACTGTGATGCTTCTTCGGGCAACTACTGTAACTCTGGATTTTCAATATTTAATTTGACAAAACAGTCACTAAGTTGCTCAGTTCCAACCTGATTAAGCTTTGGACTACTGTAAAATAAACAATTATATGTGCTTTTCATCTTAGTATCACATACAAAAACAAATATTTTTCTGCATTTCGATATGATAATGTCAGTTTTGATAATAGCATTTGTTCTTCAATCGACCTCGGTAGACTACATCGTTTAAGAAAACTTAGTGGTACTAGTTGTTCTCGTATGTAAAAGACTATGGAAAATTTACTGTCTTACTATGATGTGCTGACCCAAGTGATTTGACTTTCTGATAATACATTTACGGAAAGTCAACAGTTGGATCTACGCAGTGGCATAATTTGAAAAAGCATAACGAAGGTGAAGAAAGGTGAATAAATACTTCATGGTTCCATTGATTTTGATCTGATCACAGTGGGAAACTTTCAAAAGATATCTGTACTACTGACAGTTAACCATCCTCGACATATGTGATGTGATAAATGGGTTGGATACACTCTCCTCTGACACTTTGAGAGGGTAGGGGTAGAACTGTGAGTGTTGTGAGTATTTCAGGTGAAACTCAGTATACGTTTTTAAAAATGATACCCAGTGAAACGGTACTGTGGAGAAATATTCTGGAGCAAGAACTTCATGATGCCAGTGCTTACAATTAGTAGAGGCATTTTTCGGCACCGTATGTTAGAAGTTTAAGATGTTTTTTGAATATTCAATAAGTTGCAGATTACAAATGATAGGAAGAAATTTAGGGAAATGTTGCAAGTTGATATATGTTGGTGTTTACGAGCACTCAAAAATTGGCTGTTTATTCATCTTCCAAGAAACCGAAGAGTACCTAGGAGTAGTGTTAAACAGCGTTTGTTGGACATCGTAATCGCTGCAACTCATTTCAAACCATAGCTATGTTGTACAGCCGTTCGCATTGTCTGAGTACTAAAACAGTAAGTAATCTTTCCTGTATAAGGTTAAAGAAATTAAATCCCTCATGTGTTACAATGCTTTGGGCTTCCTTGTGAGCAATGACTACCTACCCTACCCTTTATACTAAGTTAGACAAAACATTTCTTCGATGTACTCTGATTACGCTCTTTTGATTTAATTTGGGTACAATAGTTCGGGACCAAGGTCGAAATCACAATTTACCCAACTTTTTCTTGCCTATTGCATGGAAAATTGATGATTCAATGAACACAAACTAAACCTCACAAACGATGGAGAACCAGTAACACACGCTCCCATTTAAATTTTCGTGGTCTTTTTCGACTGAGAGTTTATTAACAAAATATAAAGGATCGTTTTGCATAGAAGATTACTGATATCAAATATTGTATTTTGTAGCGTGAGGTAAGCTGTAAGTTAGTGAAATTATCTTGCTTCTGTGACGTCCAGATTCATGACAGAAAACAATATAAGTGAGGGGTTAGTATCACAGTGTTAGGTATACAACATCTAGTAAATATTAACAAACAGATATTCAAAACGTTAACTGCATTTTTTCCTAAATAGCAAGGGGTGGATAAGACAGCAACAAAAACCAGTTCCTCGGGATGATTTCATTCATACTCAGAAGACGTACGAAAACAACGATTTCATGAACTAAGAAACTTATAGGTATAATAGAAGTGGTCAACCAGCACAGTCCCGTCACGAACACCCAAGCTCTACTGAAATGCAAAAAAGTCCATACATAAAAAAAAGTTCACATAAAAGCAAAAGGCAAAAAATGGTCTGTCATATAACTCCGCTACTGGAAAGCTTAACGAGGCATTTGATTCTGTTCACGAGTTTAAACAGCATGGCAAGAGGATATATGAAATATTAAAATCTCACTACAAAACATGTTACGGGGAGTCGGAAAGCCTTAACTTGACCCAACCATACAGTTTATGAAGTAAAAGTAGCTACTAAGGCAGATCTTTCGGAACCTTCGGAAGGCATCATCGTAAGCAAACTATAACCCAATCCTACATTTAACGGAGAAAAAAGGATCCTAAGTATCGGCAAACTTCCACCGGTTTTCAAAAAAAACGATTACTCTCAGTGAAAATAATTTCTTTCTTCCGAATATTCAGCAATCATTACTCTTAATTACTAAAAACTAATAACTTTATCGGGAAAGTAATCCCCTGGTGGTCATGCACCACCCTATTCTCAGCTGTCATACAGACAAGTTAAACGTAGGACATTACACAGAAGTTGGCACACTTCACAGTAGTGTCCAAAGAAGTAATGGATATAAAAGGATGATATGAAAGTAAGCAGAAGTTTATGATAAAGAAGACGATTTTGGAGATTAAGTTTCGTGAAGATGTTCGAAGTTTAAAAGACGTCGAGGAGTGAATCGATGTGTACTGTTGCAACCGATTTGTAATCACGTGTTGAAGAGGTTCGCTGAAAGCATTGATTACTATTATCTAGAGGACCTCAGGCGAGCAGTCTACACCTACCTGTGTTGTGACTAACAGTCAGAGATTTCGTGGACTCGTGCCACACGTGGGTGTCGGTCTGGTTACCCTTAGCCTTCTTCTGGTCCAATCGTATCTGAGCAAAGGTTGGTCATGAGGGGTGGTAGGCAGTAGCTCATCATGCTCACACAATACATATGCAAACCATCTCAGTCGATAGAGATTTACAACCTTATTGACTGACTGACTCCATTCCTTTTGGTGCCGTTGTGCCAATCTGGTTATCGCTCACAAGGTGATTGCATCACACATGAGGAATGCGGCGAAGAGACCTGTGGTCAAAAGCCTGTGATCTTTTGATGTCTTCTACCCTGAGCGCGTATGTCTCGCAACTGTGTAGTGGGACAGAGTGGACGGTAGTTGAGTATATTTGTCGTTGAATATGTAGTTAGATACCTCCGTTGTCAGTACCACAGCCGACGTAAGTTGTCAAATGCCAATAGTTACAAATTTTTATAAGCTGTAAAATAAGATGAACATGACTACGATTCATAAGCTCTTCATAAAAGGTTATCTGTTGCTGAGGTGATAGCAGCTAACACATTAATTCGGCTCACTATTCTCGTATTATTTACATTCGGTAGTGGAGAGAGATGCAAAGAATCTTTGAAACTATTGCATAATTCAGATTAGCCTAACAGGAATCCGAAAAATTGGGATAGGTTACAGGGATCATATTTTATGAAGACTGTATGAAAAGTGGTTGTTATGCATAATGTTTTCTTCTTCGTTCAACTGATAACATATATAATCTTGTATGAGTATTCAGTGGTTGTTACTTAGAAGTCATTTGACAATACCGTAGTTTTCCTCTAAGTAGCGTTAAAATTTACATAGTGAAGGTTATAAGTCGAAGAAATGAAATTCATGTAACTTGCTATATTGCGCTGCAAATGATAATAACTAGAGTTAGATGACCAATTCGCAAATACCTATACAAAACACATTAATAGTTCATTTAGGCGTAATCTTACAGTAATAGAAATGAATGCGAGAAGTGTTCATTCAATAATTTAGTGTGATAACCTTTTATATTGTGTAGAAAGTGCTGTCACGCAGTATATTCATGATTTGCTAACAATTCCTTCACAGCACTCTATAACCCTACGGTTGCTGATGAAATCTTAGCTCGGATAAAAAACAGTTCGAAATCTGCAAAATTACGTCGTCTCTGGTGCTGGTACTGTATGTTACAATAGGACTTACCTATAAACATCATAAATGAATGTACAATCGTTTGGAAGCAAAAACCACTCGAAGTAAAGTTTTGGTGTACATACAGAAGTGAGAGCTAAATTTGTGGAGTAGATGATGAATACGACATAGGTAGTTAATAAAGCGATTGACCACGGTCGATTTGCCTGTTCACGAAAATATCCAACCAAGAGAAGTACCAATCTCCCTCCATTTGTTGTTTCTTGAAATAATTGGAAAACAGAAGTAACGGAAATATAAATAAGATTTCAATAGTGATGATCGAATAACTTGTCTGTTGATGCTTAGGTTTAACGTCGTAGTCACGATAAGAAATGATGTCGCTGATCATACTTAAATACTTAGTAAATTATGATAGTTAGAACAAACGACTGAGTAGATTCAAAGAACACACAACCAGCATAACTAAGAATTAATTCAAAAATTTCGTTCAGTACAACGACAATCACTTTGTACTTAACATTCTTGACGGCGAAATAATTATTTGCACACAATTTATGCACTACTTTTCGGGATTTGTAATACGCTTACTTTTCAAAAGATGAACTCGAAGAAATTAAAACAAATAGATCTTCTTGCTATTCAAATTCTGTTATCACCTAATAAAATTATTGTCTTATGCGGTTCAAAAACAGCTGTGAGCAACAGAAGTACGTTCATTTAAGGACTGAGCAGATGTAACAACTATGATATACCAATATGTGGAACTTTGTGAGAGACCTTACGTAAATCACCAGTATTATTATCGCAACACAAGACTGGAAACCTAAGTAAACAGTTGAACGTCACAATTATAAATATAGTGTTTTAAGAAGATATCGATCAGACACACCAACCCCTCGACTGACTGAAATCCGAAGCCACTTTCCATTACTTCGTTATTTTTGCTCAAATACATGATTGGATGGCACTGAGGAAGACAACAACATACAAAGATTTTAGCAGTTGACGTATTCGCTTACTAAACCACTGTCAATTTTTACTGCACCAGAAAGTAGAGTACTGTACATTACTTACTAATATCATATTTCTAAAAAGGCATTCATATGTTATTAACTTGGTCCGAACAGTGACTTTAAAGACTAGGACACAAAAAGGAAGAGAATCGGTTGATATCTACATGATACAAATCAATGTTATGCTAGAAGGTATGTGGATGATCGTATGTCTAGTCTATATACTTTCAACGATGATCAGCCTTAGTACAGCTGGTACATATAGGTACAGAGATTAATTAGGGTTTCCAACACAAAAATGTCGGTCGGTAGCAGAGATAGGCTATCATACGACGCTACATGGTACTTATCAATATGATAACACCAAGCTCAGCAAACACGCACACACACACAGACGATAATTCCCAATAAATCAGGAAAACCTTCAATCTCAATTTACTCATGAATAAGAAGAACGAGATTTGCATGAGCGACGAAATATTTAGCTTAGACAACTCTTTTACCACGCTGCACAGTCGTATTTGTACACTTTTTGACAACACTCGGTTTTTATTTAACCTCTTGAAATCCAATTTCGCTTTTTCGATAGCTTTTAACGTGAAGCATTCGCACCACCACCATTTGCATCATGTGGAGGACACTGACTGAGTAACTTTCTGGTGTTTTAACGACCACCAATACGATTATATAGTTTGACAATGGAGTAGGGGATATAATAATTTCTTAACCGATAAAAATCTTATTCATAAAGGAGTGGGTATATTTTGTCAGGTAGAAGACTGCAAGTGAAAGAAAGTGAAAGAACTTAGTGGGTTCTTCCCACTATTGTATCAAGCTTGCTAAAGTGAATACCAAAGTCAATATATTGAACCGTTACCATAAGGAGCGTGAGTACTTAAAATTCCACTGGAAAGAACTTCGCCGTAAACGAAGTTTTCCAAATAGTAGTACGCTGTATCCCCATGCATCGAAATTTTATTTATGCCATTGGTGTACAACTTTATGAACTTGAGAAAAGTATTTCTTAACGAGACCACTTTATTTACAAATTAGCAAGGGATCAGGAGATATACCGAAAAGTTTCAAAAGTAACGAGTTATATGGAGACTTTTCTGATGGACTTGCAAGATATGTATGCAATTACCCTAGCATAACCGTGTAAAATTTAGATCCAGAATTTGTCTTTGGGATGAAAGTGCCTCGTCAAAAACTAACGAGCTATATACAAACGTGGTATTTGGAAATCTTATTAGCCAGACTTGAAGTTTACTCCCAACTTCACAGAAAGCTTCAAACGATCCACGTTCACAAGATTACGTTTTTGCCACTGACACATGAAAATGCAGTATAGACAACGAGGAATGATATCAAAAGAGAACAACGTTAACCTAAACGACCTACTGAATAAGAAAGACAATACTTGAACGTCCACACGATGGACGAGGTATCGTTGTTTTAAATCGGATGGTTCATTTTTAATAAACTTAGCGATGAAAACGAATTTCTTAAATCAAGAGATCAGAAAGATGAGATACAGAATATTAGGAATAAGATATCAAAAATCTTCAGAAAATTGAGAGGAGAATCCATAATTACTTTGGATAAGCATACTCTGCTTGTTTGTTGTATCTCAGGAGGGTAAAATTGAAATTCCTCTTCATCCAACATTAGATACGCTCAACCCACCCGATCACCAAACAGCGAAGCAACTAGCTGAAATTCTTGAAACCATCTGCACATCTGCATAAATAAAATCCTCCATATACATTTAGTTTTGTCTATTACATTGAATGAATCAACGTAAGGGACATGCGTATTTTATCGCTTGGTGTTTTTTTTCTATTTACGAATGTTTCGCTAGTAGAAACTGTTTATTATCTGTGCAACGATATTGAGTCTGATAATATTGACACAAATGTGATGAAACGTGCGCCTTGTATTCCGCCTCAAGCCACCATCACCAAAAAGTTACGACACGACAAACCTATAGGGATTATTAGAGAATCCGCATAGAAGTCCATGTGCTAACAGAGGTCGATGAATTCGATCCAGTACAACAACGATGAATTATAAGTTTCAATAAATAACAATTGACTTATTGCTCAAAAGGTGGCTCTGCTACCTCAGGAGCCTAGTAGATAAAGTTCTGGCATTTTGAACCGATGGATGGTGGGCTTGCGTCTCAATGGGAACACTAACACTTACTGGAATCCAAGTACATGCAGCTGACAAGACCTAGAAACGCGCGTCCCGGATTTCACTTCCAGCCACCACCAACAAATCACAATTCTTTTTATATTATGTCCACTTAACTCGATCTCTTCATCACTGCCAATTTTATCAGGAGTATACTGAGACTTTCTAGTGCAACTACCTATTTCGAATTCTCTTGATACAAGATTTGCAAGAATTTCCAAGTAAACTTAAAGCCATTTTCATTGGACTTGTAGAACTTTAGCGACCTATCCTGCAAACGTTTTCGAGATTACAACTAACCCCTGTACTTTGAACAACGACAGCTCAACAACAAAAACATTACTCACATTCGTATCCTGAAGCAAGTGAAAAGTATGTTTCCACAGACCAAATAATGTAAGGTTTTTTTCACGTTTCACCGGATTAACTGGATAATGTTGAGAACCTAGAAATGGAATTTTTAATTACTAAACTTTTGAAACAAGAAACTATAAAGTACACGAATAATAAATGTAGGGTACGGTTTTATTATGAGCCAAATTGATAAACTATGTACAATTTCATTTCTATGCCTTGCTAACTCCAAAACAAAGACTCTACTCATAATGCACAGGTGAAAAACCTGTGCAATACGGGTGACTTTAAAGGCTACCCTGACCAATCAGGCTTCGGCATTTCACCTAGAAAAGTACTTTCCCACGAAATGAAGCAAAGTGATTGGTCGTTTCACCAGCTGCTAGTGTGGCCTTTAAAGTCACCCTGCAATACAGTGGTTACAACTAGATTCAACATCTAATATCATAGCTGATAGAACTAACCAGTTATCTCAGTATTACTGCAACTCAGGTGACAAGTGAAGTGAAAATATCCTCAAATACACCAAAATTCACGAAAAAGATTTCTTGTTTTTTCTATATACTTTACAGCCAGGTAAATTAGAATCGTTAACTTCGACGCATGGATGTGAAAAATAGGTGTGACTTGGTTATTTAATTCAATACAAACGCAAGCGTGGTACAGCATGGGTATAAAAAATGCGTCATACAAAATATACAAAACAAGCAGAGATTAAAATGGGTTATTAAAGAAGCGATCTCAAGGCTACATTCATGGAAGCTTTCACCATTTTCGGATTACTTTCAGACAACCATGAAAGCGATTAGGCTACAGCATGGTCACCAGTAATTCGATTGAGTGGTATTTGCCACTATCTTAAGTCACTGAGTTGCATGACTTCTCCAGGACCCCATTCCAGTAGTCACTACGCACCAACAGAAAACAAAACAAATCTAATCAAGACTAACTTCAGTAGACTTTATGTTATCACACACTAAGATAATTCCGTTATCATGCTGAAAGTCGGAGACGTTTTTCTTTTCGTAGCAGACCTAAGTTATCACCAAGTAACTTCTTCAGTGCTGTCTTCATTAACGGCAAAGTTAAAGACAAATTGAGAAAGTATACAGCCGTACCGTTGATTTGGAACAGTATGTTGTGAGGCCCTAGTTTTGCATAAAATATTGTTATTGATCTGAACATTTTAACTTGGCATTCTTCTCACACCATTTTACAGTACGACTAGTAGTTTATGTTCTGCCCCCACTGTGATATAATTTGCTGATTGGTTGGTCTTTACTCTTACTATACCAATGTCTCAAATTGCGGATAAGGTCATATTCATGTGTGACATTCACCTGTTTTGCGATTGATTTATTATTATATTCTCGGAGAAATAAACTTTCCCATCATCCAGCTTCGGTCTTCTCTTTATTCGTCCAGCGGTTGCAGTCAGTGGCTACCGCGTAATAAGTTAGCTGCAAGTTAAGCGTACGTATTATATTTGTTCGGAATACATAACCGTTGGCGACAAAGATGTAGCACAATAGTTGTGCTCTAACTCTTAAGTGCTTTTGTATCGAATCTGTATGTCAACAAACTTCTCAGGGACACCCCACTCTAACATACAACTGTAGACCACAACTTTGTTAAACGGACCGAAAGTGGCTCTAATATCGAGAAACATAATGATTGTTGACCGGTAATTTCTGTGATGGCCTTCGAGCACCGGAGAGGGAACATGTGATAATCCATCTGAATGAGACTGTCAGTTTCCATATATATATATATATATATATACGCGATCTAACTGAAAGTATTACTGTTTCAATTTTATCAATGGGAATTTTTAACATACATATTCAAATACAAATATTTTGGAAATAAGTCAAGTGAACGATAGAATGAAAACGCGCAAACAAAGTACCATAGTAAATCAAAATCATAAACAAAGTAAATCAACTAACTTGATGGGAGTAGGTGAAGAAGACCACTTGAGTGTCTATTCCTTACAATTTGAACGAGATGTACACAGATGACAAAGAGGATATTGTACACTAATATTTCCTTATAGAGCAGTTTATTTTCTAGATTTACTGGTACAAGCATCGTGAAATACCAAGAGAATAGAGTAACGAGGAAACACTTGTAAATCACATAAGGATCGCTTAAAAAGAGAATAAGATTGGAATTCGCTCTTAAACAGTGTAATATTCACCAGGTATACAGGGAATTCAATTACTATTTTCAATATATACCACTCAAAATGTCCAATGAAATGCTTGAGATTGCCGAATACACATGCAAAATTAACAACAAACAAGTTACTCCATGAGTCATCTTTGAAATCGTATACGCTTACGAAAACCATCTATTTACTAAGCGTAATATACTCACATCGTGGTTTAAAACCTATATTGATATGATACAATCCATATAACTAATTAAAAGGATGCTAAAGTTTAATTTAGCTGTATGTTCTGGGTGCAGCTAATTATATGGCATCAAAATGAGTGTAATTTTGATTCGTAAATACCAATATATTACCATTTTAATAGCTCCAGGTAACACAGTTAAATATCTTAGAGCAAACGTTTTATACTCTAATTACTCCTACTTAGGTCCAACTCAAAAGCAAGACAGTGTATTTCTACTGAATATATCGAACTTTACTTTTTCAAATGCGTCGTCCAATGACGTACAATGGGGAAGGAGTATGAGGTAAGTAGAATCAAATAGTATATAAGTGTAAAACTTGGGCACTGTGGTCGAGTGTAATTCCATTTAGTTTGTTTATTAGAAATATCACACAGTGAAACAGTAGCATTAACTGGATAACGTTTCGGACACAATTTATTGTCCATAGTCACATCAGCAGGTAACCCCACAACTTCGAGACAGTCTTTATATATTCCTAGTTTTCTCTTCTTCTCTGTGATGACAAGGGTAGTAGAATTTTCCATATATCTAGGACAGGTGCAGCATCATTTCGATTGCATGTGTTTGGTGTTGATTCGATAAACAAAGACTCGGTTATCAATCTCTCCATCCACCCAACTAAGTTAGTTTTCAAAACTGTCACCCTATCCCACCCTACAGTGTGATTGTGTGTCATCGCATGCAGAGCTATAGCCGAGTTTTTCTCTAGATTTTAAATAGGTCAATATTGACAGATAATTTTGCTCCAAGCAGCCTAGTGGTTCTATTCTGAGATTATTTCCCAAATGATTGCAACTGAGGACCATTTATGTCATGTATTCGGTTGCAACGCTAATCAAGTGTGAAGCTGAGATGAATATTACAAATCCAAAGGTTATTAAATGCAAAATCCGTGTAATGTATTTGCATCGACATAAAATGGAGACACTTTAACCCCTTTATACCCTAGTACAGATTCATAGCATGTGATTTAGCGATTTGAAGCTTAAAATACATAACGCATAAAAGGTACCTAATTACAAGTGTTGTTTACTTAGTTTTCTTCACGGTTCCTACGTCTAAGAAGTAATAAAACTATATTCACTACCCACCACATGCGATCCCCTGCAGTCAATAATCCTATGAAAACTGTACAAAATGCAGGAGAATTCAGCTGAGTCCAAAAACTATTTTTAATCGATAGGCAGTTGTGTGTCTACTCAACAATCGAGTTATGGAGTTTATTGGAAGTGCTAATTCGAAAATGCTGAACGGTGATGGTAGACACAACAATACTTTTCGTTTATTTAAACCAGCATAAGAGTCAGTTACGGTTAATGATTTTTGATATTCCTTCCACACTTGATACTGTCAGCACTGAAGCAACAGCCCTAAAAAACGATTATACTACTGTGTAAACTGCTTATCTTAAAAATTACTTACGAACTCCAATATATAAACTGTAAGATATTTAATAAGTTGTAGATGAATAAATAACATGCGATTTGCAATGTTCAAGCGCAATACTAATAACCGTCTTAGTCTACACCCAATCTCGATGACAAACTGTTGAAAATAGTAGAGTAGTTGAAGTACTTTAAAGAAAGTAAGTCACAGGAGTAGACTAAAAGCCGGTGTAACATGTACTAAAGTGAAACTAATAGGACAACGCCGAGACATACTCCTGGCTGCAAGATGCCAATTATTCTTTCCTCTTACAATTTTCTTTTGTGTTTTCAATTAGATTTGTCAACAGTGGTATCCAAGTGTTAGTTATTCAGGTAATGGACCTGTCTCTGGTTAGAATGAGTGCTGATGAGCTTCCAAAACATATGAATAGCTGAAGTCTGGTGACTTATATTTGGATTATTTTCATCTTCGCGTTAATTCTATAAAGTGTTTTTATGATAACCAATCGAAGTTATTCTAGATCAGAGAATGATGGCTGTTAATAAAACTATGGTAACTACGTCAAAACCATGATCTTCACAAATAATCATCAATGTTCACTGAAAGAAAATAATATGGAAAAAACACTATACCTAATCTCCGGGTTAAGTTTGCATTTGTGTGAGTACTGCTGTCAGCCACAAATCTATAAGCATACGGCTGATCTTTTTTGTAAGGCATTCCTGTTTCTTTTCACTTACGAATAATCTACATTTAACCGTGTTATTTCTGCTTCAGTAAAAAATCTGGCTAGAGACAGGTAATTAGCATTGAAATATCATCTTAATTCTGAACCAATGAATATAAAAATATCTCCTTGTAACCACTCGATTACAATGGATTGAAGACGTATGAATAAAATCCCGGGAATGTGCTCCACTGGAGTGAAACTTACCCACGACCACTGGATCCAAAAAAACACTGAGTTCGAAACTTCCTACTTGTGGAGTTAATTCAGAGCATGCTTTTTAAAATTAACCACTTCTTGAAGAAATAACAAACACAATGCATTTCTGTACAAATGGAAATAATAATGTCTAAGATATTCGAAGGAGCTGCGCTAGTTTTACCTAACAGGCACTGGTCAAGCCAGCTAACCACCAAAAATTCTCCATAATTTTACTTGCATCTAACGTCAAGTAATACAAAAACAGTTGTAATTATTGTATCTCACAAAAAAACAATGATTAATAGGTTCTTCGACAAATTTCATTAAGTCCTCTAAACAACAAACACTGATTCGTAGAACTAGAATACAAGACAGACAAACAAACTAAATCAACGTAGAACCTCGCATTTAGATGCATCCGTTCAAGTTACCACATTTCGCAGTAGTTTACAAAGAAAAGATGGGTAGGAAAAGTGATATCAAAGTTGTGTAAGAGAATAAACAATCTGAAGATAAAAGTTATTGCGAATGTTCACGCTTTAAAAGACGTCAAACGGTGAATATATCCACGTTTTTAAGGCCAATTTTCAGCTATCTTACCAAGAGTTCTCAACCACTGATTCCTTACGTTTCGAGGATCCCAGCCAGACAGTCTACATCTCCCAACACGACTCAGACTAACAGTTAGGGGCTTCATCGACTGGTGCCATATCTTGATCTGGCCACTCTGAACACGCTTACAACTTAATTCAACTTCCTCTTGCATGGCACGTCGAGACAGATGGTGAGTCAGCATGCGCAACACGTCTTCAAGCTAACCCAGTCAACTAAGGCTCAGAGCCTGACTTGCCTAGTACCCTTCGCCTTTGATATTACTCACACGGTGGTTTCACATTACGTGAGCAATATTACGAAGCTGCCTGTGATCAAAGTGCTGCAACCGTTTCATATCTTGTATTTTCACGGCCATGTCTCACAACCGTATAACAGGATAGGACGGAGTGCAGCGCATTATACTCGTCTTTCGATACATAGAGGTCAACACATTCAAAAACTTCACTCCCTATCATTAAATTGGGAGTACTTGCACCATACCAGCTTACATTTGACAGATGCAACATGCAAGCTAGCCAAACATATTCACTGCGTCTACAAGACCCGGAATTCAGTCGGCGTCTTCTTTTAGCGGGACAAAATTGTTTGCATATTCCAAATCAACCAGATGACCTCCAGGGAGTAGATTGATCCCTGTGAAGTCAGAAGCAACTAAAGTTATGTCCATCAGTACGCCTATGATGAAGTTAAACAGGAACACCGACAACAGACATCCATGGCAGACAACACTAGTTGTCGTCATTTTACATATTAACTCTCCATAAGCCCGTAAACGGCTACATGAGTTCCACTAGAGAGCTTTGATTAGCATTTTATACTTTCTCGGTACTTCCTTCACAGTCAGATACTGCTACAAGATATCACAGTCAACAGAGTCAAGTGCAGCCTTCAGGTCAAGAAAAAAGGAAGTGTCGGCCGCCGATAAGCATAACAATGTTTTAGAACCTATCAGAGGGTGAATAAACGAGAGATGCACTTCAGTCTAGGTCTGAAACCTGCCTAGTTTCTCGAGCTCCAGGTAAATGTTACATAACTATGGATTTTGGGACAAAATATTGGCCAAACTACTTCCCCTATGCTTGTTACAAGAAGACTTTTCTCCCTTATTATAGATTGGGATGATCGGTGAAACGCACTAGTCTGATGGCCTCGCTCCTGATTCCCGTACACTACCTAGTGCCTTCATCACTTTGAGCAGACATCTCCTACATCTATCCCTGAAAACTTCAGATGGCAAACTGTCACGTCCTGCTGCTTTGCATTCTTATAGGTTCGATACAGCTTTCTCAATTTCAAGGAGAGTTGGTGGACTGACATCAGCATCCTATTCAGGTTGGGGCAGGCTGGACATTAGGGAACTGAAAAGTTGCTGAGAGCCAGTTGAAGTGTGCTTCAAAGTGTTTTCTCTGTTTTAGCCACCTGTCCTGAGCTTATCAGCGTTCCATCCTTTTCATCGATGCTTTCACTCACTACCATTCTCTTCTGGTTGTTATCCTAAAAACCCTAAGTAGTTGCCGAGTGTTGCTTAACGCTGATGCCTTCTCCTCCTCTCTCCCAGTCACCAATCACAACTGCTTGCGATCGACACGAAGACTCCTGGTCAATTTACATTTAAGTTGCTTTCGCTCCTCATTATGGTCAGAGCCAGCTGGGATCATTTTTCTCGCATCAATTCCTTGCGATGGCGTGAGGAAATCCAATGAGCTTTGCTAACCCTCGAGTGAAGGCTAACAATTGTCTTTACCGCTGTTTCTACAGCAGACTTAAGATCACGTCAGGTTTCCTCAGGACGAGCATTGCTGTCACGTTATGATAAATGCTTATCTAACTCCTCCCTAAATATGTAACTGGTATCCTCATCCTCCAGTCAACCATATACAGGCTTAACAATCGTATGTTTCGTCCAGCCAGTAAGGTACAGACATAAATGAGCCCGTACTGACGCATGGCAGGAGTCCAAACTGGTACTCCAGTAAGAGCGGTAATCCTTTTCCGGTCCTCACCAACGATAGCCTATAGCAATATGTTCTGTGTCGTTGATCTGAAGTCGGCGGACGCCCTGTGAGTCAGTGTCTTTCCCCATGCTTAAAGTTTGCTCTGACCAGAAACAAGTGGTTACCACAACGAAATTGCAACGGACGACCGGCGTTGTCGATTTGTTGACATGGGATTCCGTAAATACCCCCAGGATGTCTTTGCGATTGGCTCAGCTTCCCTTCTTCAGGGTTAAAGCCACCTGCCATTTATACTACATCCGAACGTTTTGCTTTCTGTAGAAAAACTGACAGCTTTTCATAGAATTCATCCTTTGCATCATACGAACTCCAGTCGATGGGTGAGTAGGCGGCGACTAGAAATAGGCATCGCCTAGTCTAACAACCGTTTTGAGTTATAGCAGATCCATTCCGTCGAACTGAAATTAAACGACAGTTGACTGGCAGCTAGTCGAGAAGCCCACTTTCTGCCCTACAGCTCATTGATATGCCTACATTAGCGTGTTCACGAGAGCTAGCCACTGGGTCTCGAGATACTCACAAGGTGAATTCTGAAGATTAGTCACGCTGGTCAGGTGATGTCAGTTTAATAACCACACTCGAGTCCTGTATAGGTGTCTCAGAGACAGCACACATGCACGGCTGGAGATTCCAGAGTTCTGCTGAGCGACGCTTGCAGTCCGCTTTGGTACAGAGTTCGGACGTTGAAAGCTCCTACAATAAATCGACGGAGGGGTATTTGGGAACTAGAAATGAGGTTTCGATGGTTGTTGGTAATGTTCGCAGAGGAAGAGTTGGGCAAGGTGTAAGAGGCTTCACATTAGTATCACGAGGTGAATGCAAAGGAAGAGACAGAGCTGAGGAGAGTAGGTAATGTTTGATTGGGTCTTGTGTACTACTGGAAGCGTGCGGATGGTTGGTACTTCCCGGCCGCCCACACCGTGAAGCTAAGGTCCATTGGTTTAGGGACATGACTTTCAATCAATGGGTCAAAAAACATTCCACCTACTGAGGTTTCGGGAACCAGGTAGTCTCATTAGCCCTCACACAGTATGTGTGGTCTATTGTCTACTGCGCAAATGTGCACAAGGTTGCTAAGTAGATTAGAGTTTTTTCTATTTGGGCTCCCCACACCATGGAAGGCTATTTCTTCTAAAGGTATCTGAAAGAGAAAAAGACTTGCGTGACCGTAAAGTCTGTGGGACATTTGCTTGAGGTCTGTCACACAGCCTTTTGCGCGTTGTTGTTTTGAATTTTGGTTGTTCTTACGCTGAAGAACCCATGCCGCCTGCATCGGAAGACCGTGGGGTAGGGAAGAGTGTGCTATTTTGGTGGCAACCGTTTTCTCCGTCCCCCCTCCCCTTCCCATTGGGAAGACGTCACCGTGGCACTGCTGGTCATTCAAGGGAAGATAAGTTTTTAGTGCGAAGTTTACACAAAATGATTAGTTTTTATTCTGGTAATATTTCGAGCAAAATTACTGCCCGCGATCATACCAACAGTTGGAATATTTTAGCAATATTTATTCACACATTTGCCAGTGGGCATTACATACATATTCTTTACTCATGGTTTGTTAGTCTATTTGTTTAGTAGAATGTTTCGTGTGGTTGACAGTTGTGTTGGTTAACCTTTGCTGCATGTGTTAGGGGCGACATGTATAAATATTGATTCTGTTACTAAACACAGTGCACATACTTTTCAGTGATATAGGAAACGTCTTACTCATGTAACACCTCAGCCAGCAGTACAACTTCGCTCTCAACCCCCCCCCCCCTCCCCATAATGTAGCAATTCACACTATAACGGTAACTGCTTTTCGTCTTACACTATCCAACATACCTGTGTGACATGATAGGATCTCCAGGAAACACAGGTTCCAACCAGTTTACCTCGCTGGGTCATTGTGATATGCAAGCCAGACCGTGTCAAAGAGGCAGCTATCGCCCCGGCAAACCCATGTAGGAAGTAATATGTGTAATTTACTTAATATATATATTGCCAGCTGTAGGTTTATATTCGAAAAATAAGTTAACTGCCAACTACTTTTAATACGTACCTGATTAATCCTTTGTATCTATCAGAAAACTTGGAAATGAAAGCTTTTTCTAATGAGCAAGTAGTTGGAGCGACTGTAATGACAATGCTTGAACATATTACCAGAACTATTACGAAAATCACAAGAGTAGTAATCACATGCAGAGTGGCGAAGCCTAACAACAGTGGAATAAGTAGTGGTAAAAGAAAACGTGCTTTCCATATCTTAACCGATGTTGTGAAACGACCCTTATGACTTGCATCCGTTTTTGAATACTGAAAAAGATTTCAAACCAGAAATAGTAGAAGTAAGCAAGTACATATTCAACACAAAATTTAACTAGTGTTATGATATCTGAAGGGTCATTTCCTCAAATTTTGAATGGTGTAAACGGTTTAATGCCAGATATTTATCAGTAACACAATTCATTACAATCAAAATAAAAAGTATAAGGTACTGTGATTAGATTGAATATTTAATCTATCTCACCTAAAACGTATCGCTTCCAGCTGGTGCATACACTAAAAGAGTGTACTGAGTTGAAACAAAAAAAAACGAAATGCTGAGTAACACGTAAAGAAAACACATCATGATATTGGGTCTCAATCTATTTCGCCCAAAGTCGCTAACTGATAGTTTTAGATGCACCAAAAGTTAATTAACATATACGTTTCCAAAGAATATATCGTATTTCCCACTGAATTGTGTGAAGTATCTCTTATTCTTAAGCTAACCAAAATCACTCACGGCTATACTGTCTTTTACAAACAACTAACAAATCATTGTCAAGGACCACATTCTCTCAATACGTCCGCCTAACAAAGCCGTGCACATTGTGTACGTTGGCTAGATACTTAAGTATACGAACACGGCTCCTGGAAATCTAATTGTGAAAATACAGATTTATAAGAATGATGGAACTACGTAGTGATATGCAAAGCGAGTGAGTTTAGTTGAGACTCTGAAAACCTTCAAATCACTTCCACAATTTAACTGCATGACTAACTTTATATCCTTCTAATTTGATGACAACTGAAATCAACGATTCCCAACCAGTTAAAATACGTTACACGGCTTACATCATCCATTCGCAGTCAACGTTAAAAACGCATAATGGTTAACATCCATAATACGCGATTCTACAAGGAATATCCTTCCACTCACGAGTAACACCCTAAAGCACTCATTGTAGGGAATATTTCGGAGACTTGGCAGTGAAACTCAGTAATACACAAGGTACAAATAATACATTAGTAACTAAGAAATAGTGCGAAAAGCGCGACAAACAGTTCTGCTTTGCTTTGAAGTACTGCATGCCTCAGAATTTCAGCGGCTAACGCTATCTTTCTCAGCTTTCCCTTACACTATCCATCTTTCTCTAGAATTTGATCAGCAGCTGCCAGTTGAGAAAATCTGTGAAGGCCCTCTATTTAATACATCAATGGTGACAGTATAGGAAATTAGTGGATTTTGATCTCTAGCAACGGGTTCCTGGGAAGCTAAAAATTCCGAGGAAGATAAGGGTTTTTGAGACCTCTTTCTTCGAAGATGCCTGAATGGGAATGGTAGGATAGTAATAAAAGGTACATGGGACGTTACTGAAGGACAAATGTAAATAACTTAAGTCTAGTTACTAAAGAATAGTTGGAAGATAAAGCGAGCATATCAAAGCATAAACATGTTAAGTGGTAAATTAGAAAGTAGTAGTGAGCCAGTGGGGTCAGTAGTGTCCTAAATACACCACTGGTAAGCCATACGAGATTATATATTTTTACCAACCGTCTTCTGAATGAGTCTGCCGAGGGAGCTTCAACTATGTCATGCAGTACAGAACTCCATAAGGCACGTACTCTCAAGGAAAAGAAGTGTGACCTGAACTTGATGTTGGCCCTCTGGTGTGCTATTCCGATGGAGTCCTTCGTGGTGACCACCATCTTCAGGGTAAGGTTAGATTCTTCACACGACTTGTCTGATGGATGATCTTGTAGGTCACAATAAGGTCACCACTCTTTCTATGATAGCCAAAACCAATAGGTCTAGGCGCCTCAGTTTGTCAGGGTATGTCTTCGCCCTAAGTCTGGTAACTGATCTGGTCAAAGACATTTGTATTTTCTCAAGGAAATCCTAGTCTCCTGAGTGTGGGTGGTTTGCGGTACTGAAGACTTCCAGATGTAGCTGCGTAAAGGATTCGAAAACCGTTAGAAATAGTTCAGGAGTGAGGGCGCCGAACTATTTGCGCAGGAGGTGCAAAGTGCCGTTCGTTCCGGTATCCGTTCCTTTGTAATCAAAGCTGGTTTCAAGGTGTAAAAATTACGCCCGAGAACTCTCTATGTGATCAGTTTGGTGACCT